AGCGATTGAGTAATGCGATTGACATTTCTACCAGGACTTGGTAGTCCATGAATTTCAGCATAGTTTTCGAGAAAATTTTTCACGGCAGTAGCAACGGTTATATCAATGGTGATTTTGGTTTTCCATCGCGGCATTCGTTTTATGTTACCATGAACGCGCGGTATGATACCATTCGTTGCTAGATGGTTTCTGACATTTTCGAAGTGCGTGCGACCAATTCCTAACATATTAAGATACGTTTTCTGGCAAAGAGCTGTATTACGATCTCAATAGTAAAATGTTCGCTTATTAGCACGCGTTTCTTTTTAAGACGTCGACTGGCAGTTATTTCTCCGCCATTCATCGCTTTTAGCTGGGCCATTAAAAATATATCTTGTTCGGATCTAGAGAGCTTGAAATGCTTCACGTAATTCGGCAAACTTTTCTCTCAGAATCATTTTTGAACAACCACAATTGCAACCCGTCTCCAAGAAACGTATTGCTTTTTCATATTCAGTGGAACAGTTATAATTATAATTTTCCATATATGGGTAATCCTATATATTAGTTTTATCATTTTCATGTATAGTAGTCTGTATGCTTGCAGTGTAGGTTTCAAGGCATTAAATTTGATGATTGAGTTGTTTTGAGGTTTTGGTGTTATTATTATTATAAATTAGATTACTACAGTTTCTGCAATTTACATTGTTATATGATAAATTCCGTCTTAGTAATTAACAACAACTTAACATTTAGATTTTATAGATCAGCTATTCACAGTAAAAAATGCACAAAATTTTTTTAATGTCTTGCAATCTGCTTATTTGCAAAAGCTATGCAGTTTTGAACTTCACAGTAACCAGGAGCCACTGTAAGTATAATATTTTAAAACAACTACATTGTATAACAACAGCATTTTTTTTCTTCAAGGAATTGCAAACTTGAACTTCCTTTCTAAATTTACATACACACACGATTTAGAACAGCTTATTTAGAGAATATAAAGACTGTGTATTGAACCTAATAGTTAACTCAAACTACTCTCCCTTGAGCCCAACTTCTGTTTCCTGGATCCCTTTGCTATTTGCTAAGCAATGTGCAATAAATGTAAGAATAAGAATAATAATGATACAGAGACTGCATGCACATTACAATAATTACCTTCTGATACAAATTGGAGTGTGGTTGTTCTTTATGATATGATTTAATGTTACCAATTGTTTTTGATGCATTGGGCTGTCACATTGTATATCAATATTAAATATGGTCAGGAGAGTATAAAACTCAAAGTTTCTAATCAGAAAATTGTACTTACCAATAGCTCAAGCAATGCTTTCAGTTGTTTCATTTCTTTTGCAAAATCTGATTTTTGCTGGTTCTCTTTGAAGCAGCAAAGTCAACAAAATAGACCTGAAACCCATAGCTGTCATAATGAATGAGAATATTGTCTAGGCAAACATCACCATGCAAGATACCAAAGCTGTGGATAAGTGATAATTTATCTACTATTGTAAGCCATTTTTCATGATTTGTTCTTTCCACCTCCAGAGGAGAACCAACCAACTCCATTGCAATTACAAAAAGCATTCCATCAAAACCTGCAACCTTAAGCTTGGGGATACAATTTCCTTGTAACTCTTTCAGAGTATTATATGTCACTACCTCTGTAAGAATCTCATCCTCATGCTCAGGGTGTTGGGACAAATCCACAATTTTATAGCTACTTCTTCATTATCTAATTCAGCCCTGAAAACTTTTCCAGTCCATCCACATCCTAAGAAACTCCGCCTCAGGAAGTGATCTAAGCTTATTGTCTTCAAAAGTATGTTGCTCCCAATGCATCTGCAACTTCTGCCTCTTCTGCTCTTCTACTACCACTGCCACTACCATGTCTTCTACTTCCACTGCTATTGTCACCTCTTCTACTGCCACTGCCACTACCATGTCTTCTACTTCCACTGTTATTGTCACCTCTTCTACTATCACTGCCTCTGTTATTTCCCCCATGGCCCTTCCCTTGATAGTTGCCAGGTAAATATTCATCATCAATATCATCATCTGATGAATTTGATTGTGAGGATGGATCTTCATCAGTCTCATGTTTAAATAAGAATACAACACTTCAGATTTAACCGCTACTCTTAATGGCCTATTAATTTCGTTAATATATTTAGGGAATTAATAACGTCGCCGTTTCATCATACAGACAAAGACGAATAAAATATCACCAAAGGTCAGGTTCAACAGATGTTCCTGGTAAAATGTAGCGGACGAAGAAATGCCGCTCTTATATAAAATATCTAATACCCCGTTATACATTATATCGTAGATTATCTCGTTAATGAAGGTTAATTTCAGCCTCAAAATTAATATTTCTCTTTCCACTAATGCTCCGATTGGATTTTCATCAAGAGTATCCGCATTTCGCTTTGTGTCTCTATCACACTCTATGGCTCCAATACTTTACTAACATTTTGGCATAGGTTCCCTCATTGACGAAATAATATTTAACTTGAACAAAATAACGATAAACTCACAATAACGGTGTTTGCAATATGGATAGACAATCCTTGTCATTCAAATACTATCTACTCAACATAAGGTACCTGGGTTTTTGCTGCAATATTCTATGTATAGATGATGGATTAGCATGATAATCTGATATCATAATTCAATTCAAAAAAGATAACTTACCTATAAATATCCTTAACTTGCTGACAGTAGTTATGTTCATAGTACTATAGATCCTGCAAGCTCCACTTTCTTCTTAGGGTGTTTAATTGTAACCAGATCTCTAACAGCCTGTCCATGCAATTTGCACCATGAAGCAAGCATGGGAAGTAACCATCCAATATCCAGCATACATTGAAGCAATGAAGACAATTCCCAAGGTTCTGTAGATCAAAAGTATGAGTGGGTGCAAAACATTGTTCTCATTCACATATTCTATGGTTGAGAATGTAACTTTATAAGCATAAGCATTATAGGCAAGGAGATAAGGTAGATTGTCATATGTCCAGAAAGTTTTGATGTGAGTTCATTTGCAGGGGTCACCAGATGTGTTAGTGTATGGTCCTTTCTCTTCTGGCTGGAAGACACCATATTCTCCAATAGAAAGAATAAGATCAGGTTGTTGTGTTCCTGTAGATTTATAACTTAGAGCTTCTGCACAGATGTAATTAAGCTGTCCCACAAGTAGTGAAATGATTCTTCTGTATGTCCTGGAGGAGGAGGATCAATGATTGCTGTAACAATCTGTGCCACTAACTCCTCACAGTGTTTGTCATCAGAATGTACAAATAATTGCTCTGTGAGAGAAGGTGGAATATGGAGCTAATTTGTGCATACCATTTGTTAGAGCGACAATCTGAAGGTGGAGGAGTGATCAGTTCTCCAGATAAATTAGAGATAGCAGGTATGTAGTTATATAGAACTCTTAGTTGTCCCAACAGAGCTGCCGTTGGATCAAGGAGACCTGCTGGTTCTACTTTTTAATAGGGGAACAATATGAAAACCATTTGTTACAGAGAATGAAAATGGACAGTAAAACAAGATTACAAAGTTGATACACTTTACTCTATGTACACTACTCTATGTCCACAACGCCCGAGTCACAAAGTCGTTACCCGGCTGAGCGGCTGAGAGCAGTTTCTTTTGTAGGTCCGCTTCCAAGTGTGAGTATTTTGAACCCAGTCAATAAGGTCACTAACGTATTGACTAACCACTGAAGCTTTTTATGGTCTTTTTGAACTTTGGTTTTTCTACCACTGAGTCAAGTTTTAGTTAACTTATCCTGTTCTAGTCTGCGTCAACCTAATTTTGCTAAATGTAACAGTTGAAGGGATGAGCTAAGACGGAGAAAGTAACGCGCGAATGTGATTAAATCACAATAATTATGACTTGTCAATTTTGTCTGACATTACGTAAAGTATTTTATTTGATTAAATAAAATTCAATATTCATTCTATTTTATGGGTAACTATTATGTAGCGATAGTAATGGAGTTTTTATTATGTGAATAGGTATATAAGTTGAAGACGGTAGTTGTGACATAATAGTAGCTAACAATTAAGTTCGAAATTAAAATTAATTTGTTGATCCAATTATAGCGCGTGCGTCTCTGAGATATCCATTTCTGATAACTCCTCAAGTGGCGGCAATCGATAAGGATTCTGCCTTCTTGAATAGTTAGAATATTGCGAATGCTGCGACATCTGCGAATGTTGACTCCCTGTATCATCAAAGTCTCCGACTCCTTCCGCGACACTCATATTTCCATTTGCTTTCATCATATTCTTCTTCCTCTTCAAAGTCTTCTTCAAATTTTTAATTCTTTCCGTTTCTTCCCTTTTTTGTCTTTGAATCTCCCAATCACCGAAGCTCTCGTCATTTTGGAAACACCAGATCACACGCCTTATCCATTGCATACTAAATACTAGTCTGATAACTCGCCAATATGCTCTAAACGCTTCTCTTGACGTCCCGAATACTAACCAGATTATTATTCCCAATGATGCTATTAAATAGTCCGCGTAAAAAGGGCGGAAGTTGTATTCGGTTAATCGGATCGCCGTATATAAATTCCTGCCCGATATCCCGACCGTGATTGCACTGTACAACAGCCCAAATAGCAATAACCTTAGACATACATATACGGGAATAGATGCTATCGTCTTATTCGACAATCGTAATGGCGACGACAGTTGGTGAGGTGTATCGGGTGCAGTAGTGGCAGCAGTGGCTGGCGTGAATGACTGTTCAACATCATCGGAAATGCGCGATTGGGATTGTGAATGAATCGTTTGTATTGTTACTTGGGAGTTAGTCTGTCCGATTGATTTTGTGACTAGTGTGGCATCAAAACCGCGTCTTGTATAAATTATTTTTGCTACTTCTACCGCCGTGCGGACTAGTGAATGAAACAGAAAGATAATAATCGCAAACATGAGCAAGATTTTAGCAACATATGATTAATCAATCATAATGAATTAAGAGTTACATTTAATCGCTCACATGAAAAGTATATTGCTGGGATTGCCAAGAGCGTGTTCCATCCTTCAACGCTCACAAATGCTAACGGAATCATCGGTTTATAAAGAAAACAGAAATATGCAGCAGGCAACTATTTTCCAAATTAATGAATAAGTGAAGTTAGAAAACATGTTTACGGAAACTGAATTAGTAAATACAACCCCTTCCAGATTATCCTTCCACTCCCATCCCTTTCCCCAAGTACTCACGATTCCGTTCGGTTTTTCAGCAATAATGGCCGGCGGTACAAACCCAACCAGTAAAGGGAACAATATTGAGACCGCAACATAATATTTTCTCCTCTTATATTCGTCATCAGGCACATGCAACACTATCCCTCTGTAAATCTCATAAGTGTAAACCAGCACAGTTAAACCACCAGCGATACTAGCCGCATTAATCCAGAGTCCCTGTATCCAACAGATAATTGTCGGCGCTCTTGCTAATTGCGCGCCATAGATCCATCCTCCGAGTGCGTGCGGGATAAAGATGAGAACAATCGAAACGCAGAAGTATACAAATATACGATTGTAGTTGAGACGGTAATAAATTATTACAAGAACGAGCATAAGGAAGAGTGACACAGTGCAGAGTATCGAGTATATTAGACCACCGTCAGCGAAGTGTTCTGTTGTTGGTACGGGCGGGCCTGTCGGAGCTGCGTTTGAATTGTACCTATCCATGACGTAGGAAAGAGCTTGAGGGTTGAAAGATAGATAGACGATGGCAATTCGGAGGATTGCGTCAGTTGGTGTGGAAAATTGTGAAGAGACTCCAATTTTGGTCACAATTTGCGGCTTTGTTAAGTTAGAAAGATGAGTTTGTCTATGGAAACATACAAATTATAATATATCTAGGATGACCTCTTTAAGATCAATCAGTTTGGTTTTTTTAATAATACACTTTTTCTATAGTTTTACACTTAATTAAAAGATGCCATCAACTGTCTTATCTCTTCACTAGCCTGACATATCCTTAGGTCTAATGCACCGTATATTCCTCTATCCTGTAGTCGATAATAAGCACACTGCAATATAACAAAGGGAAGGCCTCACCAAAAGACGCAAAGTCCAACCCGATTAGACCCACATTCGCTATTTATGGGAACGCCATTGCAGGACTTCCTGTCTCGGTGTTACGGTAAGTGAGGGGCGAAAATTGAGAAAGTAGAATGGTAAACAATGATCTTAGATAAGTACAAGGGAAATATGCAGAATGCTAAACAAAAAGGATAACGATTGTAACCATGCAGTTTAAAATAATAAAGAATATAACAATAGTATCTGTAATTTTAGGGGCCATTATGGTCAATTTTGTAGAAGTGACAAATGCAAGTTGCGTATTGTGCCACATTCAGCGAACGCTTATTCAAGAGTAACTCAATGAGATAATATCACAAATTACTGGACAAAAATCTATCATCAGATAACAGGAAAACAAAAGTACAAACATGGTACACGAACAACGAACAACTGTAAATACACATAAATAAGATATTAATATTAATATTGATGGTGATAATCAAATTTATACGCTTTTCGCAACGGATGCTCGAGTCACGTCAGAGACAATAATTAGAACATATGAATTTAAAGCCAAGTCATTCTTGAGTTCGTCGACCAAATTTAAACAATACTAAATGATTTGAGGGCGAGCAATTTGGGGGAACAAATCTAAATGGTGCAGCCTACCACAAACGCCGTGGCATTCAGAAATTTTAAAAAATAACTTTTGAGTATTGTTATGTTACCAATTGGCTTGTTCCACATGCAACACTGTTTGGTGTACAAGTAATCTTGAAACTATAGATGAAATATTGCCCAAGGCTTCTCGTTGATCGAGGCTCTTCGTTAGATGGCTTTAGGGTGAGCTTGATTCTAATTCTAATTATTATCAAATATAAAGGATAAATGCATATGAGAATACATGACGGCAAGTTCCATCACCAGTATTATTATAGGTTATCCTAGCATAATATTGTATTTACGATTAACCCATTACGGATATGAGGAACAAAGACGCGATGAATTGCTTCTTTTATGTAAAAAACGTAAGCGTTTGGTGTCAAATACGTTATAGGGTTTACTCGCACATGAATGATGGTATAGTCTGAACCGGATGGCCATATAGAAAATTTGCCAAAAGTTAATGCAGACATTCACCAAAGACGTTCTTATTACGAAATAAAGTTAGTTTACTGACAAACTGAATCTTCAAGGCCCAGTATTTCAAACTTGCTGAGCATTTATTACAAATTCGACAAAATACTGCCTATATTTACGTGTATAGCGAAGAGCGTTCTGTCAGAATAGGCAAATCATATAACTTGACTATTGTTTTACTAGTTGGATCAATTAAAGAGGTATGCAGACAATGCTTGTTATTGATTTCACGGATTCCAACTTTTTGTGCTATTACTATGTGAAAGACCCTAAATATTTGCTGTTGTAAGCACGGCCCAAATGCAAATGCCCACAAACTTGGCCTTTTTGTCTTCAAAAACATTGCTAGCGATTTAACGAATCTCTTCTCAATTACAGTCACCCAAAATAGAAAGAGTTTAAATATTAATACAGTCGACCTCCCCGTTGGGACCAGATAAAACCTGTGACTGTATGGGAGTGTGACTGTATGGGAGTGTGACTGTATTATTATAATTCTGTTATTTTATTATTATTAGATCACAAATTTCACGCTTATTTTCTATACTCAGTCGAGATCGTGTTTTAGATAAATGCTTCGACATTTCTTTGAAATTATTTTATTTTCGATATTTAAATCAATAAATACAACAATTTTCTATTGTGCTAATAATGCGAATGACGTTATTAATATTAAGTTGATTATTATTATGTTATACCCAAATATTTATTATGATAAAGCATGATATGATTAATAACACGTGCATTTAAAAGATTCAAAATCGGGTGACTGTGACTATAATAAGATTGTGACTGTAATGGAGGTAAATCACTTGGGACCGGACAGCTTGTGACTGTAGGGGAGTTAGTAATTGACATATCCGCTGGTTTCCATAAAGAACAGAATTAATGTGAGTTTAAGATTTGCCCGAAACCTTCTTCATAAAAAGGTGGAAGTTAACTGTTGTGTGGAAGAAATGGTTACACTAGTTCAGAATTCATTAGTAAACTATACCATGGCCTTGTCTTAATGCTTACACTATAAATTGTTCAAGCACCGAGATTTGATGCACGCAAAATAGCTATTTCTATATAGCAACTAACTCAGAAATATGAAAGCATAATGTTTTGCAATTCCAATGAATTGTAAGCTTCAGAAATTATCATTAACTCTGTTTTTGATAGCAGATTATTGCTAGTGTAGTCTCGATATAACGACATCTTGTTATAACGACAGAATATCTACAGTGGTGTGCAAAAAAATGGCAATTGTTTAAATCTCTCTGTTTTAACATGAGCAATCTAATTAAGGTGTATGATATATCATTTTAAAGCTTAAAAGCAGCAGATGTTATTAATATAAAATTAATATAATATCCCATTACCATTCTCTTGATAATAAGCTCATGCGATGCGCCGAAATCAGTAACGTATTTTTCCTCTATTTCTGCGTCCCTCCGACGATGCCGCAGCAACATTCAATCGGCAGTTACACCAGCGCAACTGCGGAAATCGGTAACAGTGGTACGAACAATTCAGGGTGCAGTGGTACGAGAATTAAGGTAATACAGCACCACTGCTTCAACACTGCTTCACCACTGCAGCAGTGGTGCAAACGCAATATAATCGTATACCAGAAAAGTAGTAATAGAATATTGGAATTAGCGATTAAAAATAGCTCAATTAGACCGATCGAAAGATATAAAAGCAGTAGGAGTTTCGGTGTGTTATGTGTGTTATAGTTCACGTTCGCTAGTAAATTTAGATCAATATATTCTTTATCTTATTGTTAATAAACGAGTATCGCATTTACTCTGAACATATACTTTTGACCCTATTCTCTAAATTAGTTGAT